TTTTTTTTTTTTTTTCTTTTTTTGTATGAACCCCTATTAAGCTACAAAACTCCAATTTAAAACATTTGAACTAGTCGATAGTGCACAGGCTGCAAAGTAAGTGCCTGAAAGCAGTGGCGCTGGAGAGCAGTACTTTGCACTCCAACAAAATAAAATACGTGACGCGGCCAAACTTAAAATAAATCCCCCCCGCCAAAACAACACTACTTTAAAGCCAAATTATAAATCCCTAAACAGAAAGGTTACAACGGAAGTGAGGAGAAAAGTATCTGTAGCAGCACTACGTGGGAACCATTGTAACGTTTCCTAAAAGGAAGCAGGGAAATTGCCGAAACGCAGCACGGTTTAATTCTCATCACTAGCTTCACATTGCGACACCTTCAAAAACATGCAGGGACCCACCAGGAGAGCAAATCCGAGCCTCCCTCCAAGCCAGCGCTGCAGATAACACTCCGGGAGCGTGGCTGGACGTGCGGTGCGATCCCGACGTTGCTTGTTTCCCGAGCCTCTTGCACAGGAGGAGGAGAAGGAAGAAGGGAGAGGAGAAAGCGRCTCCCCTGCTCCCGGCCCGAGCGCGCGGCTCCGCTGGGCTCCAGGCCGCCGGTGCGCGCTGTGTCCCCTCGGCTCCGGCGCGGGGCGGCAACACGGATCGGCCGGCACTGCCYGATTTCTCCAGGCACCGGCACGGCGCTCCAGGAACACAAATGAACGCAATACTGAGCCAGGCAATGGGACAGCTCCCGTGTCCTGACTCCTTCCGGAGGAGCCATGGTTGAAGTCGCACGAGTTGGAATGAGCTGTCTAAAACCTCCCAAAAGCCAAGAGTTTAAAAGAAGAAAATAAAAATCTTTTAAAAAGCTATTTGTTCCACTCGGTGTGGTCCCACTCCGTCCCTCTGCTTGCGCTCTGCTGCTCGGCGCGTTCGCAGCAGGAGAGCTGCGGTTGATATTTTCTCTGTGAGGCATTTTGGCTTCCACAATCACACAAACTGTAACAAGCTCGACAAGAAAACACTGGTGAGTCCTGAGTTCTGGCAGAAAACCTGTTTCGGGGCTAGCCGAGGGCAGGAGGGTCTCCCTTCCGCCGTCTCCTCCATCATACGTGGCCTTCAGTCTCTTTGCCTTCCGACTCTGGAGTTTTTAGCTCCTTTTCACCAGCAGCTTTTTCTGCTTCTTTTTCCATCCCACTTTTGCTCGCTGCTTCCTGCAAAACAAGGACACACCAGAAGAGCTTTGGTGAGTGCAACCGGACCCTGCGGCGCAGAGGATGCTGCCCAGCGTGTCGCCCTTGTTGCGCCTCACGGGGCTGCGCGCTTGGAGCGGAGGCTCGTGTTTCCCTATGGATCCCGGAGGTGAAACGCTTGGCAAAGGGGCCCTGGGTGCACAGGAGCTGTTTGGGAAGGCATCGGATTTGTCGGATCTAACGGGWCCTGCCCTGAGGGCCGCGGGATGTCCTCACAGGGCGATCTTATCCAGATGCACATGGAACTAAAGGAAAAGGGGCAGAGCCACGGGTTGGAGCAGATGGAAACAGGAAAACATTATGCCTGCTGTAGGGGTAACTATCGCTCTTAAAACCTGCTTCCTGAAAGGTTACCTAGTACCACAAACTGCTATAGTGCTGATCCCGGAGCCCCAGTGGCTCCACCTTCTGCTGCCATCAGCAAGTCCAGCTGCCCTGGGATCCTCCGCCCGTCCCTTCTTCCTCCTTCGTGGGCACTTGTTCAGAGGAGCTGCGCTAGAAGCTGCCGTGAAGCCTGGCTGCAGAGCCGGCTCCTCTCTCGTTACAGAACACGGCGCATCGGTTTGTGTTGGAGGAATGTTGGCCGGGAGCCTGCCGTACGCCAGCGAGCGCTCTCATACGAGAGGAGCAGCGTATTCCATTACAAAATTCAGGAAATCCATACTATCATGTCTCAAAATACCCATGGCCTTGCCAGACACTGGGTGACATTTCATTTTACCCTGAGTGCTGGTGACCAGGGAGGTCACCAACACCCCTAGTTTAGAAAGGGAAAATTCAGCACCAACGCCAAGCCCGTCACCAGCAGCCACGAGCACTCGCTGCCAACGCTCTCATTGACACCTCACGGCAGCCTCTGCATCGCAGAGGCCAGGAAAGAGGCAGCAGCTTCCCCCAGCGGGCTCTATCCGCAGCCTGTGCCCACCAGGTGAACGGGCGCTTCCAGACCCGCCAATCCCTCTGTCCATGCTCACCCCAACCCGTAACCTCCTCTCACGATGAGCAACCCCCAACACAGAGCTGGGCGGTCACCGAGAACGGGCTTCGACACCGGCGCTCCACGAACCTTCGCGTCTCGCTCTGCAAACTTCTTGAACATGTTGGCATATATCTTCCTGTCCCTCTCGTTGTGCTCCTTGGTCTTCTTTTGGCACACGGAGATCTGGGACTTGGCAGCCTTGTTCTGTGGATTCACCTCCAGCACTTTTTGGAAGTCACCTTTGGCCAGTTCAAACTCGTTCATTAAGAGCCGGGCTTCGCCCCTCCTGTACAGACCCTTCTCGTTGTCTTGATCCAGCCCTAATGCCTGCAAACACACGGGTCCGTGTTAGCAGGATACCTATATCATGCACATATATCATGACATGAAATGACATGAGGTGCACATGCATCACGACAGCGAAAGCCTGACCCTGCTTTACTCCCTGATGACACAGTATTTGCTRCTCAGCAATACTCATTTAATGCTCATTTACTAATGCCATTTTACATCTCTTGGGATGAAGCACAGGGGAAAGCAAAGGCATTTCCTTCTGGCTGAAAATGCAGCAAGGAAGATCCTACCACAAAGCGCTCCATGATGTGCAGCCCTGCTGTTATGCAGCAACTCACTGGGCAAGCTAGGATCCCGCTGGCTTATCAGGGCTCTGGTAATACCAACCTGGGCCTCGTTAGCTTTGAGGCCTCATTAAGCATAGGGAAAGCAGGACAAGAAAGAAGGCAACAAAGTCTCCAGAGCGCTCACATCTTGCTCTGCAAAAATGTACTCATCTCCATTATCAGTTGGCTGGTCATTAATATATTTCAGTTAATTAAATATTTCTCATTGCATAAAATCCCCCCAAGAGTGAGGGAGCAAGTGGGCAACAAAGCCACTCGAGCAGGAATTCCTGTGTAAATGCCAAAGCTGAGCGCAGCGGAGCAGAGAGCTCAGAGTCAAGACAGCTGATGAACTGCTGTGCAGTAAATGTGTTTTTGTCTCCCTGACTCAGCAATCGCATTACTTTCCTTCAGGAAGAACTTCATGTAGCTGACAGTCCTGCAAGYATCTCACCGATGACTTACCTTTGAGGACACTTCACTGTTTCTCCTGCCTGACCCTGCCTTAAATCTAAGCCTTTGCAAAAGAACTAAGACTTTCCTGACACAGAGGATCACAAAGACAAGGTTAAGAGTCTAAACACTTAGGGAATGGTAGGATCTCATCTTTTGATATACTGAGACATGCACTGAGACTTCAGCAGATGCAACTGAGTGAGAACAGCCCCTGTCGTATGGAGGCCAGCACTGAAACCCCCTTTCAACCCGAGCACCCAACTAGGATCCTCGGGCTGTCGATCYGTGGGGTTCACCGGGCCAAAGCAGATGTGGTTTGCAAAGCAGAAGCATGTAGGAAGCTGTAAGCGTCTGCAGACAGATGAATTTGGAATTCCAAAGATACCTTTTGCTTCTGCATTCTCAAAACATGCAGCCTTCGCTAACACCCCAAAAAAGGGGACTGCCTCAATGCACTGCAGTTTGCAAACTGCTTCTGATGCAGAGAAATTCAATACGGGGGAGGAAAAAGAGCAAAAAAAAAAAAAAAGTCCCAAACCCCCAATAAAAGCAGGCAGAAAAAGCACCTGCAGCCCAAGGGCTCGCACGTCTTTACCTTGTCGCAGCACTCGACAGCTTTGGTGTACTCGCGCAGCTTCAGGTAGCACATGGCCAGGTTGAGGAAGGCAGCCAGCAAGAAGGAATCTGAAGCTTTCGACTCTTTCTCGGACAAGCCATACTCCATCTCTAACCACGACACAATCTTTCCATACTGGATCACTGCCTGCAAGTACTTGCCTTCCTGGGATGGAGCAAAGAAGACTGGGCTTGAGGAACCTGAGCAGACAAACCGAAGCAGATCTGCTTCCAAAGCGTTCTGGAAAGTTGTTGAGTTTAACATATGGCRTGTGAAGTAAATAAAGGGAAGAGGATGGTGTAGTGCCAAGATGCTGACAAATACACCGGAGCCTCCCCATTGCTGCCGGTGTTGAGCCCCACTGAAGAGTCAGGTCAGATCCTTCCTCCTCGCATGAGGCTACAGAGGAGCACCTGGAGATGCTCTCAGGCTACAGGTCCGCTGGTACCGGTGACAGGGGACATCAGTGGCAGGGGACATTGGTGGGGATGATGCTGAAATGACAGCAAAGCTTCCCCTTTCCAATCTCAAAGCTGCATGTGTGTAACTGGAGGACATCTCAGCATATTCGCAGCACCCGCAGCCCCACGCCACGCTGGGAAGAACCCATCTCTCCCAAAGCACCTTTGGAGAGGGAGGAGCAGGAGAAGGGAAGGATTTGCTCTGCCCGTCACCACAGGGAGGGGTGAATTCCCTGCCGTTTCGGAATGCTAAGCCACCTCTCTGAAGGTCAACGGGAACTTGTTTCAAAAGCCAAGCAGCACAAGTCCCCTTGTGCCAATTCAGCTTCCGCCAAGTTTACAAACCTTGAAGTACATCGTCCCCTTCTCCTTGACAATGGCAGCCTGCTCGAGCTTTTCCTTGGTGTCCATCTCCCACGACTCTTTGGCCTGCAAATAAACACCGAGAGCAATCAGGGAGCGGAAAACACAATCAGCAAAAGCCTCAGAGCCGGGGGCGGCCGCGGGGCCCGCCACGGAGTTCTGCAGACCCTGGCTCTTGACACACGCTGGCTCCAACATCCTGCGCTTCTGTCCACTGACTCACTGGAGCGCTGAGGAAATTTGCTCTCTGCTACGACTTGGACCGGGCTGTGGCCCCTGGGGTTAGCGGGAGGACAGCGTTATTGCCACCAAGAAATCCTGGAGCCGTCCATCAGACACACGCACCCTCCGGAATCTTCACTGGGAGCAAAAATAAAGGGAGGAGCAGAGCACTTGGAGCTCGGAGCAGAAAGGTAGGAAGCTGCTGCAGGAGGTGAATCAGTGCCAGGTACAGGACTTTACACAGAGCTCTGCATTAAAATTAATGGGGTTTGTCCAGTGCAAGCTTTCAAGATAGAAAAGTAAATCGCAGTGGGCAAGAAAAAGCTGTGCAGAGACAACTGCCAGCAGAGAGGGAGAGCACGKGGTCTGCGACGCTCTCACACCCCTGTTCTCACTAGCACTAAGGAGCAAATCCAGCCTGGAAAACCTTCCTGCAGGACGGACCCGGCCGGGCCAGGCAGCACGCGTGGCGGGTCCCGGCACAGCTGCCCCACGGACATGGAGCATCCGGCCYGCAGCCCTGGCCTCCTCCTGCGGGACGTGAACTTTCCTCTGTGCAGCTCAGGGAAGAAGGGAAAAAAAAAGTACAAAAGGAACAAATAAGAGAACCAGCCTTGGAGCTCGGCCAGAAAAATAAAACAAACCAACACACAAGAACAAATGAAGAACACAGAGATCTCTGTTGACGCAGCTACTTCGGCCGGGGCCGCGTTGCGGCTGCACCGGGGACAAAGGGTGCTGGTTTGGGAGGGAGGTGCCGGGCGGCTCTGCGCGGCCGCCCCTCTGCTCACCTTCTCGAAGCTCTTCAGCGTCACCTCGTACACCAGCTCCGCGTTGGCCTGGATGCCGAACTTGGCCTTCCCCGCCTCACCGAAGCCGTAGCTGCAAGGACAGCGAAGCGCAAGTGCGGACGCCTTCCCCGGCGGTTGCTTAAACCGAGTGTTTCGAGCGGCGGTGCCGCGGCCCCAGCGGGAGCGACCCTTACCGGGGCGCCAGGTAGAGGACRCAGTGCTCGCCCCGCTGCATCTTCTCCAGAGCCTTGTCTATCCCGATGGGGATATCGTGGTCCTCCCCTTCGCCCACGACAAACTTCACGTCTTTGCAGTCGAACCTGGTGCCGCCGCAGAATCCCTCCAGGTGAACTGCGGAGCAGAGCGGGATGCCAGCAGAGCACGTGAAAACAAACCCACCCCAGACCTCCAAAGGCCTTCAGGACCGCCCAGCCCTCAACAAAGGCTGCCCATGACCCACGCCAAGCAAAAGGGCCTGCACCGGCACCCGCAGCTAGGAGTTTCACCCCGAGCACGGTGAAAGAGTTCTGGAACAAGCATTTTATGAGGCTCAACGGGCTGCTGTGGGGAAACCGGGAGCGCGTTCGGGATCTGCAGAGCTGCAGCTAACGGTGCCGGGGAAGCTCTCGCTCGATGCCGGCGCCCGCTCCCCGGCTCCGGGCGAGCCGGGCGCCGCGACGCTGGTGGTCCCCCGGGGCCTACGCGGGACAGCGGGGCCAGGAAACCAGCGCTGCTGAAAAGCACAGAGCCCCATYGCGCCCGAGCGAGGACCAGACAACAGATAAACATCATGACTAATATGTTCCTCCCGGATGAAACCATTCGAGTCAGGCTTACTGGAACTGGATATTGCTCCTGGCAAGCTGCCACCCACCCAGCCCTTTATCACGGCGACTACAGGCCTGCCATACAGCGCTATATGCTCACCTTATACCTCCAATAACAAGGCTCTGTTCTGCCGCCTCTAAGAACCAGAAGTACAAGATAAACATTTCTGTAATCTTCAGCTAATAGCCACGCTGTTCTCATCGCAGGGGCTGGCACGAGCACAGCCCGAGCGGACACCAGGTACCCGAGACATTTGCCACCTGGTACTTCTGGCTGCATTTCCAGAGCAAGATTGTTCTTTCTTTTTTCAGCCCTGCAGATGGTTACATGCTCTAGGGACGGCTGATGTTCCTTGCACTTTGCTTCCAAAGCACAAGGCGTATACGTGTGTGTGGGGGGCAAATATACGCAATAAAAGCAATTCCTTAAGAAATCTCAGTATACTGTTAAAAATTAAAAAAGGTTCCAAAAGAAGAAACTCATTGGAGGCATTAATGTGGTCAAAACTGTGCTTAAAGACTCAGCAGGCACTTGCTGGGGTTGCCAGGAAGAGCGAGGAAGGGAACGTTCGTTCCCTTCGTTAGGGAACGTTACGTTTCCTAAGAGCCTAGAAGGGAACGAGCTGCTTCACCTGAGCCCACTGCAGAGCTGGAATAAAAAGACATTCTGTGGGCACAAGCGGGTGCAGCRGGAGAGCAGGGCAAGGCAGCAGGGACACCCGGAAAGAAAAGGGCCCTCGCTCCAAGCAGCAAGTCTGCCTTGCAGCCCGAGGTCCAGGGTGCTGGGTGCTCTTCCTGCCTTCAAAAAGAACGCTGCAAACCACTGGGAAAAGAATCCGACACGAATTAAACCTTAAAAACCTCCAGCAGAGGAGCGGGCAGCACYGCAGGATGTTGTCACGGGAGCTAAATGCAGCCTGGCCCGTCGCAGCGTTGGGAGTCCCGCGTCGGCGGACTCCGAGTTCCTGCAGGGCACGGAGCACCGTGTCCTGCCAGCACGGGAGATGGCAGGATGCCAACGCAGGGCCTGGCAAGGGACTCTGGGGACACGAACGCAGGGACGGGCAAGGGGCTCTCAGGAGGAGCCCGCGGGACGCCCGGCCCCGCGCGGGCGGCCACGGGACACGCGGCGGCTCCCGGCACCTCGGGGGCACCGGAGCACAAGCTCCCACCCCTGCCCTTGGGCGAGCAGAGGGTCCATCCTGCTTTACAGTGCCTGAAACCCTCCCTGGCCACGAGTCCCTCTCTGCTTCAGTTTCCAGGAGCGTTTCAGCACTATCTGAAGCAGGTCACTTGGCTGCAGTCGCTCTTGGATTACAGAGAGAAAAGCCCCCGCCGGGCTGCCGAACATCCCTTCGGTTGCAGCGCTGACTTATTGTTCTCTCGGTGCCTGCAGCGATTTTGTTTTTGAAGAGCTCAGAACACAGTGTACTGAGCGCGGCTGGCACATGGACTTGATGTGCTGACAGCAATTTGTACTCAGATTAAAACGGGGAGGAGGAAAGGGGGGGGAAGGTTGTAACAAAAGCKGGAATGCCAGATCTCTACTGCAGCCTGCGTCTGAGGAAGCAGAACTATGAATTATGGGGTGCAGAACTCAAACCTAGAAAAACCCTTTGGGAAGAGCAGCCCAGGGATGCTCGCTCTTGGAGGCAACGCAGCTTCTTGCAGGCTAATCACAGCAGCARTTCCAGGCACCTTAATGCTGCTCCCAGAGTTAACGTGGGGTTTCAGGAGAAGGGAGTCGGAGGAGGACCCCACGCAGAGCAAAGCCCCGCAAGGTTGGCAGCGTCACATGCTGTTGCATGTGCAAACCCACCCTATCTACACCCAAAATGTCCCCCGGAAAGGCTGCCAGCTGGTCCAGTGCTGTTTCGTCCCCTCCTGGCACGCAGGAACGTGCTTCAGGGCACCCAGGCCCCCCACGTACAGGTGGATCCAAACGACTTCAAGGCCACCTTAGTAAATCACTGTGAGTGAAGCTGCTGGCAGGGCCCAGTGCTGCCACTGGGATTAGCACACAGTTCCTGATCTCTGCCCCGCGCGGGCAGCGTGTGTTATGCAAGATTGCCTCAGAGGGCATTAATCTCTATTATTTTGACTGTGCGTGTGCTCCCACTTTGAGCATTTGCTCAAAACCAAACAATCATTTCAAATAGGTTAAGGGAAAAAAAAAAAAAAAAAAAAAAAAACACCAAGAGCTGGCTTTAGGGCTTTGAGAAGAGATCCTCTCCCTGAAAAATTATTCTGGACGAGCAATTTGGCTCTTTAGGTTCTTTCAGAGAAACAATTACTCATTTTCCCTCCTCCTGACTCAGGCCTGTTCTGAGTAATTAGACCAGTGTCATGTTCAAGAAAGAGTCAAGGAAAAAATATGCGGGAGATGCAGCCCTGGGCATCCATCTACCTACCAGCATCAAGCCTAAATGCCTG